GTGTGGGGTCTTGTCCACAACCACCGAAGCCACATTGTAGGGAACAAACTCACCCCACTTTCAAATGGAATCTTGACCTTGAATGTTGTTTTTGGTCCCCAAAAAATGAACCAAACACGTTCATATCGAAAATGAGTTTCTGAGAAAGACGACAGTGGAAAAATAGAGAAGATTGGTTAGGGAAACCATGATTCATATGTCCATTCTTGTTCATCCCGCATGAGTTTAGGCTTAAAAGAAATTGCCTTTTATATCTTGGCCTGACGATCTCGAAGATTTCATCATTTCTTAATCACATGTGATATAGTCGTTTTTGTAAGTTAACCATGTTCTTATTTGATCCCCTCTCTCTTTCTGTATATGTATATATATATATATATATATATACACACACACGACTTCCATACATTGTCAAAATACATTTATTGATTTAAAAGAAACCTAATAAAAGATGTATCCATGAACAAAGTAAAAACGTACATCGACCATAGCATATTACTGGACTAACGTCGTGCTGAAGATAAACCTTGTGTCAAGATAACACCATAATTGCATGACACGTCTTTTAAAACTCTATAAAAAACCAAGTCTTAGATTTACCCACCAATAATTCAAGGATATGAATTTACGTTTTGCTAACTTATAAATATGATCTCCATTCTTCTATAAACGAAAATAACTCGTATTGTCCATAAAATTTATATAAAATACAGAATTTATAAATTGATTTAATTTTGTAAGCATGTTTAGAAATTTTATTTTATTTATAATTGTATATAGAAATATTAATACTTTGACAACCATCCATCCATCCATCCATACATACATCCATGCATACATACACATTAATTGTGAAATGTTAGGTGTGACATTTGTTTTTCTTGGTTAACCTTTTAATGATGTGAAATTGAAATATCTTTAACAATAACAGTAAAAGATAACGTGATAATTTATAATATCTTTGAAAATGGTCTCTGGACTTCGGTGACTACAATTATCATCCATAATGTTTACATTTTGTTTTGAAAATCGTCTCTCGACTTAACTTTGTTATATTTTTTCCGTTAAGTTAGGATATTTTCGTCTTTTTATTTTTAGGGGGATATGTTATACAATTTGGTTTAAACCACAATGACCAATTTGCAATTTACTCTAATTTTATATTGATATTATATTAATATGTACATACATACATACATATATATATATATATATATATATATATACACACACACTATGAAATATGAATACACATCCGGCGACCAAGACGTCATCTTCGACGACCAAGACCACTGCACCACACACCACTGGTGATCATCCACTGCACCCCCACCACCGGCGATCGTCCACTACACCACCTATTGTCGGCGACCAAGA